TGCAAGTTGTTAATTCTGGAACGATTCCTTAGAACAACTTTTTATATTAAAAACGAAGTTCGATTACAATGCTTAAACATATCATAGATAGATCTGAGCTATCTCCCCTAATTTTTGCATGTGTCCAAGTAGATCCAAAATCCTTTGGGCTTCTTCAATCTCGGGTTCTAATCTTTCGTTCGCTGTAGCAGCTTTATGTGCTAAATCGACCAAGTATTGATCCACTCCTTAAGCATGTTCCAGGTAACTAGCAATGAATTCATCCCTTTGTTTAACTCTCCACTGAGCCTTCTCCCAACGATAGTTCCACTGTATAGTTCTTTCATAAGGGACTATCAGAAGTTCACTTGCCCTTCTCTAAAAATCTTGAACCATAGTCTCAAGCTCATTCACTCATTTTCTCAGGCTTTCGACCTCCCCACAGCTCGAGCTGCCTTCTCGGCTTCAGTATTGTCGTAATGTTGCCTCTAAACTCGATACATTTCCTTTTAGTTTTTCATTTTGGACTCGACTCTCTTACAGTTGTTTCTTCAACACACTCTTTTCTTTTGAAAGTATCTTCACCTGATGTTTGCTCTGCTTGAGCTCTTCTTTACTTTCTCCAGCTTCTCTCTTTAGACTTGTTACCTCTTTCCTCCACTCAGCGAGTGATTTACTCAAGTTAGCGGCCATCTAAGCTTTTACAATTCGTTAATAAGATAATTAGAAATCATCAAAGTCCAATCTGAGTTGTTTTTCTACTTTTCAATTTGATCAGCTCGACTTTTTTTATGTCAATTTCTACTCCCTTTTGGTATACATCATCCTCCAACTTTTGTAATGTTTATTTCCATTGCTTTCTTTCAGCCTCAAAATCATGATTGGTTAGCTCTAGTGGGATGGTACAACTCTCAGATGTTCTTCCATGGGTTGGGTATTTTTTGGATTAACCATTGGGATATTATCATTAACTCGATTACTTCTCCCTTGCTCGTATTCTTATGACAGCTTTAGATCAAAAGTGAAGAGATTTACTCGACGAGTCTGCTTCTATGCATCATCAACCCCTTTGACTTATTCTTGTATTGTTCTCCCTTGAATGTAAACTCTGACCCAGATAAATCCCACGTTACAGGAATAAACTGCCTCGACCCATATTGCCTGGAAACTAACAGATGTGTATATCCTACGGAACCCCATATGTCTGGCAAACGAACCCAATCTCTCTCCCTACAATTGTAGAGTATGTCTGAAGAGATATTCCATAAAGCACGCCACAATATGTCTCTATCTCGTATATCTTTGAAGATGACCATCCATTTTTCCTCAGTGAAACCCCCAGGCCATTCTCGGGAAAAGAAATCTTTTAAAGGCGAAACCCTTCTAGGAACACTCGATCGGGTGTCCTCTCGACGTGTTTGAAATGATTGAGAATCCAAAATAGAAAAAATGGTGTGCATCCTATGAAGTGTCATTCTCCCTCTCGTCTACAAAAGTTTAAAGAACGGAAAGTCTCGGCTAGAATAGCTGGAACAGGATCCACATGACTATTTAATCTTTCGAATAAATCAACAACTGACACATCAACATGCCCCAAGAACTTTGGGAATATGACTAGCCTATAAATACCCAAAGTAAACAAGTCAATCTTCTTTCTCTTATCGAGATGACGATCAATTACTTCTCTCAGAGTGGTCCAAGTAATGCACTCACTATCTCGTTTCTTCTTGATACTTCTAACGATTCATTCTTCACTTATTACATTCATCAAAAGTAGTTTCTTTTTGAAAGAATGAGTGTTTGGTGGCTTGGTGTACACCCTGTCTACTTGGAATCTTGGACAACGAACCAATGTATAGTACTCCTCTATGGTAGGTGTTAGATCCACTCGACCAAAAGTAAAGAAACTGTAGGTGGGGTTCCAGAATTACGCAAAAGCTCTAAACAAATTTCGGTCAAGTGGGACACTTAGGAGATAGGAGATGTCACCATAGAGCTGATATAACAACTGTTTCCCATCTACCCCAGATATCTTTTAGCTCACTCAAATAATTTTGACGAACATTGATGTGGGCATAACCAATCAAATCTTACACGTAACCAGGCGGCAAGCTATCTCCATTTTTAAGTTGTGACTGCTAGGACCATCTCAGAACATCTGCATTATCTTCTACCTCTTTTTGGACCCTTCGTTCTATATTACTAGCCTTCTATATGTATATCGATCACGGATCAATACAATAGAATGAGAATGAATAGTATAATGTAAAAAATAAAATAAAATAAAAAGGCAAAAGAAAATTAGTTTGTAATCATAAAGAAATTAATTGGGCATAATATAATTAGTCAATAAAACCTAGCCTGACATGTAGGCTACCCAATCATGCTTTAGCATATCCTACCTAAACACGATTTCTACCCCCGTGCTTTGTTTAACATAAAAATCCTAACCTCATGCCATTTAGTTCGCAATCTTATTCGTAAAAAAAACCTAACCACTTGATCTTTAGTTCTCATACATTTATTCGTAAAGCAAATCAAAATTATACTACAAAAATTAAAAGACTCAAAAGAGAGATTTTCTTTATGTACTCTCCTCGTGTGATTCTTAAGGTTTGGGTTTGGCCTTGTATAGGTTTGGGTCCTAGGTTCACTATATGTTGGGTTCATTTCTAAAGTAAAAGGTTCTCAAAATTTCGTTGTCGGTGCCCCCTTGGGCTGCTAGACCCTCAATCTTGGCCCATCACAGGCTTTCAGATCAAGTTCAATTTGAGGTAACACGCCTCCTTGTGTCCATACGGAGGTGAAAACCATCATGAGGACCATAAGGCGTGAGCCCCATAAGCGATTCACTATCCCATACGGAGGTGAAAACCACACGAGGGAGTAGTTTCTCACTCCTACTTAAATAGGACGGAATGGGGGTTTTAGCTCACGTTATGATAATGCAAGTGCACAGTGTGTGAGGAAAAGATAAAAACACACAAAACTCATTTCTCAATTCCCTTTAAGACACATTTAAACTGAAAACATTAGCAAACAAATCAGTCTAACTATTTAGTGGTTAATCAAATTGCAAACAAAAAATTATTTAAACCAAACAAATGATCAAAAACCAAATTAGAATGAACTTGAAATTTTCATTGCAAAGACAATTAATTAATTAACTATCGGCCTGACTCTCTAAAAAAAGTCTCTAGCATAATCGTCAAGCTGTCGAAACAATTTATTTCTTTAAAAACATCACAAATTTAATTTTTAATTAGAAGTGATTTTAAAAAAAATCATCTCGATTAATTTGATGATTCCTTTTAAAGTAAAAAAAAGTTCGAGGAGTCGCCACCAATCTTTGATTAGGGTGTGATTGGGCACCCAAAATGTTTTGTCATTTTAATAATATTTAATTTTAAAAATTATTAAAACAACGTTTTAAGGTCTGCATACCAAAAAAATTGAGTTCATGAGTCGATTTCGCGTAGGGAAGGATTAGCACCCCACATCGCCCTAAATTGGTACCTAATTGATTAATTAATTGTCTTTGCAATGAAATCTACAAGTTCGAGTTTAATTTAATTCAAGATCCCTTCAAATAATATTCTTTAAATTTTAGGACGAAAAACGATAATATTTAATTATTTTCTATCGAGAAGAAACCTCTCATACCTTAAAGAAGTCAATTCTTACTCCAATTGAAATAGAGAAATATTACAACTCCATTCTAAAATTCATTATTAATTTAAATGCATGAATGATAATAAAATAAAGTAAATTAAATTAAAAATTACCAATCCTATTAAAAAGAAGAAGGACAATCGATTATTTAAAGAAGTCGAGATCAGACCTTTTATAAGTTCTAACGATCTTTTCTCGAAGAATTTAAATAGACGAACATTTCTTTTTCTCTCGTTCCTAAATTTTAGGTGCGGTCAAATTTTAAGGTTTCACTTGATGGGATATATTTTCATTTTAAAATTATCAGAAGTAAATTTCTCATACATTAATACAGTCACTCCACGATGACCTTAAGATGAAAGGGTATTACCCTTAGTCCAATTATTTGGATCGAGTCAAGTGATGTTTATGAGGGTATCATACATAGCATGCAACAATGACATATCTATTAGAAAGATGACATTAAAAAAGTAGATCTACATATCAAGGCAAATGCAATATATATATATATATATATATATATATATATATATATTTAGGGAAATGTCGAGGATTAATAATATTTGAACTTAATTATGAAAATATATTCTATAATCATGTTAAAGTAACATATAATAAATATCTCTAATACTAAGTAATGAGATAATTGAAAGAAAATGCCTAATTCATCATATTTTAAAAGAATTGAAAAGAAAATATATAAAAAAAAAGCTAGAACAAAATAAGTATACACATGCGCACGTATTTAGATCATTTGGGCACAAACAAACTCGCGCATATATGCATTCATATATACCTATATATAAAATATACCATATTATATACACCATGCACACATGCGCAAATATATATATATATATATATATATATTAATGGATTTAAATACAAATAACGTATTCAAGAGGGGATCAAACAGGGGATATTGAAGATTAAAAGGGTTTGACAAACCTCTGACACAAAACTAGGAAAAATAGCAAGATCAAGGACTTAATTGGCTAATTAAACAAACAGAGGTCATAAAACGCAAAAATCATACATTTTCATGCATTAGACTGAAATGAAAAGCATTAAAATGTTATGCCAAATGTATAAAGCAGCTAAAACTTAAAATTACATAACACAGGACCAAAGTGCATCACGCATAGAACTTGATGGCAAGATCATAAATTTTAAAAGTCACGAAACATGGACCAAAATGCATTAAAACAAAAAATGGTGGGGTTTACATAGAAAATAATCCATCCCCAGGAACTGAAATGGGTACCTCTTACCTTAGATGAAACAGTGTCGTTTTGGCGCTTGAACAAATATAACATTTTAGGCATAAAATCTAACCCTAACCCATTTACAACCCTTTTATTTCCTAACACCACCCCCTCTCGGTCGTTCTCTCTTTCACTCTCACATCCCTTGATTTTTTTCATTCTTTTACCCCTTCTTCACAAAATCAAATGGCCACCATGGCCATCGCCGCATGCGAGCTCCGATGAGGGACCGAACGGAGTCTAATGACTCTCTCTCATAACCCAAAACCACTCCAGGAAACCCAAAGAATCGACCACCTCCAGCTCCTAAATCACTCGACCAAGGCTAGGGAAATGAAGGGTTTACCTTCGACTCAACGGCGTCTAAATCCCAGGGGACGGGCGATAATGTTTTTCGGACCGAAAAGGTGAGATTCTTCTTCTTTGACGTCTCTCCCTTTTTTTAATGACTTGGTTGCTCGGTCATACAAAGGATTCTCTTTTTTCGTTCTTTTTCGTCGCTTTCAATTGGTTATGTTGGATCTTCAGAGGGAGATTCCCCCACTTGTTTTTTTGTTTGGTTTATCCTCTCGGTTCCTCTCGAATTTTTGCTATCCCCCTCTTTTTTGGCTGCTACGTTGTATATATGATCTTTGTTGGTTTTTCCTCCTTATGTTGCTGCTCGTAACCCCTCTAAAAGGAGAGAGAATACTGATATTTTTTGTCCTCTTTTTAACATACCCTTTTTTTCATGTATGAGTTCTCGTCGATTTTTCTGCGTGGCTTCATCCAACAGCTCCTGGGAATTCAGTGGTCCTTTTTGGAGCCTTTAGGCGAGTAGCCTTCTACAAATCTGTTACTGTTATGGCAGGGGGCACGACAGACTCGCACTGGCTCGGGTACACTAAGGAGGGTTGCGATGATGGCATCGTGGTATGTGAGAGACCAAACAGACGCGATCTGAACCGTTGGCGCCCCTTCAATCCGACGTTGACATTCTTTGGCGGTGGTGGTGGCAGCTCTTTAGGGTAAAACCCTGGTTCTTGTTGCATGTGGGCCGTTTGATCTTATCAGATCCAACGGCGGACCCGCGACTGCGTATGCTTCTTTTCCTAGGGTTATAAGAACCCTAATTTTAAGTTTAATCTAGACCGTCAAATTGGTTATCAGATCTAACGGTTCGGATGGCGAGTGTCTTCTCCTCCAAACCCTAATTGGGACTTAGGCTGCTACTGGGCCTCCAACCAAATTGGACAACTTGCCTTTGGGTCTACTTGTAACATTCGGGCCTGTAACTGAAAATTATAAGAATTAAATGTCAGTTTCAAATTTCAACAGTCATTTCACATATGTAATATATATATGATCCTATAACCACTGGCGTATATATTTATAATAATAAATAATAATAACTAATAATTTTCTTATATTATTAACACTAACTAATGATGATAATTAATAATGATATACACATACATAGACATACATGCGAGACAATATATATATAACTAGTAATTACTCATAATACTAGTGAAAGTATAATATATGAACCTATGTATTTTGCTTATATAATATGCATATGATATGTATATAATCAAATACCCAAACCAATAATTTGAACTAACTAACGATATGTATATAAACACAAACAAAAACTCGAATGGAACTCCCGAGCAAAATGAGCATCTACACTCGGTCTTAAAACTCGTGAGTTTAAAATTTTCAAGTTCAATTCAAACTCGAAACCATTAATGAAGCTCGATAAGGCTCGAAATAAAAAAATTAAACTTAACTTGGTTGAAGTTCAAATTCGAATTTTAAATACATGAAAATTTTATATTGTATTTAAAAAAATCAACATATAAATGTTAATATTATTAATAATGTAATTTCTAAAAAATAAAATTTTAATATATTATTTTGTTCGAGTTGCTCGCGAGCTTTTTGAGTTGAGTATTAAGTAGCTTGTTTCGGCTCGTTAAAAATTCAAGTCAAGTTCAAGCTTGAGTCGTGGCCATTCGAATCAAATATTTATCAAATTTTAATCGAGTTGATCTCGAGTAACTCACAATCTGTCTCGTCTTATTTACAACCTTACTCATCTTTCAAGTTGGCTTCAAATCCTGAAACATTGCATCCCACCTGATCTCTTCATCACCATTTAACCAACGTCCATCTTCACCATCCCATACCATTTTCGTCTCCTCCTCCTTTTGATGCTCAAAATCCACCGGACTTAAAGGTCTCTCAAGCCTACCCCCAGGCTCTGGTGGAACCACTAGGGGATGAGCCCCATTTGTGATAATCAGCCGCCCTTGTGCGCCACCCGTCATCATCGTCTTCTTTCTCTTAAACATTGCATTTGCAACATCTTTCCATTTATTACCATACGATCCAATTCCTGACCTAATCCTTTTCGTTGTCTTGACTGCCAACACAAGCCTCGACATTGGTCTTGAACGATTGATGAGTGCTTTGTTTTTTATAGCAAACTTGAGGATTTCCAACCTGCGTTTAGCTATTGATATGCCCATGCTTTGTAAAAACTCGTGGTTGAAGAAAACTATGTCTTCTTCTTCAAGCTCGTTGTGGGAGAAGGAAATGGCGTACTCATCAACGAGGGACGAGTGAAGGCCTGTTTTTGACAGCCAAGAAAACCAGTCCATTCCCATTGATAATATCAACACTCGTTTTTCATCCCATTTTTAATATTATTATTATTTTCAGGGTTTACAAACCCAAACAGGGTCCAATTACAACTCAAGACATGGGCCCAATTACAAGCAAACCTGGCCCGGTATCTAAAAAAAATTTAAGGTTTCCAAACCCTAACCCACTCTACTGTTGTTGTCTCAGCTGCCTAGTCCTAGGCCACCTTCATTTACACTAATCTCCTGCCACCATCATCTGCACCAACACTTCACGCCACCTTCACTGCCACCAACACACAGCAAACAAAAAATAAGGATCAAATCAGTGATGATGATTTTTTACTTGATGTATGTAATGACGAAACCAAAAAAAAACAACAATGTAAAAGGGGGAGACCATCCCCCATTTCGAAAGAAAAAAAAAAGAGGAACATTTCAGAGAAAATAAATTTTGTTTTCGGTTCTTTCCTTTTTCATTCGAAACGCGTTACTTTATTTTCTTTTATCAATAATAGAGTAAAAAAGGAGGAAGAAGAGAGAACGTTACCTTCAGCTGGAGGCTTTGCCGACGTTCGGAGCCTCCATTGCCATATTCAAACGGTGAGGAGTGCCCGATGAAGGAGAGCAACATACTTTGGAATGGGCCCGATCCAACGGCGGACAGTAGCAATCGGAGCCCGGGAAAGCCAAAGGGTCTCAACCATTTTCAAGACGATAAAGCCCCCTTCACGAAAAACGGACCCTAGATCTGAGATGATGGGTTCGAGGTGAATCTCAGGGTAAACTTTGGTGGCCATCGACGACGGTGGCCGGTAGCGACAGGCGACAACCAAACGGTCGATGAGGGGCCAACTTTTTAGAGAGAAACGAGAGCTTCTCTCTCTAAACTCTAAAAAATGAGAAAATTAAAAAATTGTATTTAAAGAAAACTTTAGGGGGAAATTGCACTTAGGTTTCCTTAAGTTATTCGTGTTTTTGCAAAATGGTCATATGTAGGGACTAGAGGTGGGTATACGGCCTACCCGTCTGTTTAGCCCGCGGGTTTTGATAGTGCGGGCTTAAACGGAGCAGTTTAAAAAGCCCGCAATCATAAACGGTTTTGAATTCTAGGGCCCGCGGCCCGTCCATTTAACTTGCGAGTTAAACGGGCTTACCTGCGGCCCGTTAAATAAAAATAATTTTAAATGCAATAAAAAATAATGTTCTAACTTGCTACACCTTTAAAAATGATACAGTAACTTGAAAAGAAAGGTAGCACCGTCAAAAAAATAAATAATATTTAAATTTTATTTTAAATAACCGAAAATGATTATAAAATAATATTTTTAAATTTTTTAATCATTAATATATATATATAACGATATAATTACTTAAACTCAAATTAAAAAATTAATATTCACTTATATCACCAAATTGAAAAACAAATAAAACAATAAACATATTATACTTTTATAAAACACGGTTATTCAATGTTATAATATGAAGACACATAAGTGTTTGCAAGCAGAAATTCAAACAGAAAAATTCAACAAAGTCAAACATTATACAAATCTAACAAATTTTCTTTTGTAAAAGCCTTTAAAAGTTGAAAAGTATGTTTTCAATTTTTTCTTTTACTTTTCTTTCTTATTTTTAATCCAAATATTATGTGTCATGTATTATATTATTAAAATATCACGTGACTTTTTATAATTAAAGAACGAAATGGATAACATACTTCATGAAAAAAATAAAGGTCAAAATTAAATAAAAAAACTTTAAATACCAAAGTGATAATGATGTAAATTTTATAAGACTAAAATACTATATAAATCTTTTAATTTTTATTTTTAAAAATGAAGAATAATTTGATACATTGTAAATGAAAAAAAAAATCAAACAGCGGTAGAATTATGACAAATGCCCTAATAAATTTAAGAACTATAATGGTTATAAGTAACATCATATTTATATGTAATTTATTTTCTTTTTCTATAAAATTCTTTAAGTTTATTTTCTCTAAAATTTTATAAATTTTAAATTAAGCGGACTATTGCGAGCTTCGCAGGCTACCCGCGCTTATACCCATTAAACCCTCGGGTTTAACGGTCCGGGCTAAAAAACCCGCAGTTTAAACGAGCTTCAGTTTTTGATGTCCAAAACCCGCACAGGTCGCGGGTTAAACAGGTAGCCCGCGGGCCTTAGCCCATATCCCCACCTCTAGTAGGGACCTATTTTATAATTTACCAACTTTCATGTATTCTTTTTATTTTTTGGTTTAATTTCTATTTAGTCCCCCTAACTTTAGTGTGTTTTTGCATGTTAGTCACATGTATGGACTTTTTTGTAATTTACCCACTTTTATGCATGATATATATTTTTAGGCTTATTTTTTGTTTCGTCCCTCATATTTATGTGTGTTTTTACATTTTGGTTATGTGTAGTGACTATTTAATTTTATTAAATGCTTATGGACTGATTTAGTAATTTCCTTTTTTTATTTCGAATGTAGGTTTTAGGCTAGGAAAAAAGGAATATTTAGTAAATAGCCCCTGTATTTTCTGCATGTTTGTCTTTCGAACCATAATATGTCTTTTTATTTATTTTAATTTGGCCATGCAATTTTAGTTTATTTTAATTTAGCCCCCGCGTTTTATTTATTTTTATTCTTTTTAATTTTAGCACTCAATATTAAAAATGCTCATTTAAGTCACTTTTATACTTTATTTTATTTTAATTTTGACATGATGGTTTGATTGTTAATATTTTAGTCCTATTTTCATTTTATTTTAATTTTTGCATGTTGCTTTCAAGTTAGTTCATTTTAGTTCTTAATTAATTTTGCATGATACCCTCATAAGCATCTCTTGACTCGAATCAAAATAAATTGACTAAGGGTAATATTCGTTCATTTTAATATTGTCGTAAAGTGATTGTCTTAACATATAAGAAAGTTACTTTCGATAATTTTAAAATGAAAGTATATCCCATTTAGTGACAAGAATTAAATCGAATCCATTTTAAAATTCGGGATTGGGAAAAAGATCATGTTCTTTTAATTAAATTCACCAAGAAAAGATTGTTAGATTGAAAAAAGAACGTTTCTACATTATTATGATATATCGATATAACTTAATATCACATCAAATTTCAAGATTAGTTGGTGGAGGTGAAGCGTGTATGGAGGAAAGCGAATTTAATGACGGATCAATTGGCAACGATGGCGCGCGGATCACCGGTTGATGACAAAGCTCTCGATGACACATTTAATTGGCCACTTAATTCGTTACAAACGAATTGTCTGGCCAGCTCAGTTGGTAGAGCGTAAGGCTCTTAACCTTGTGGTCGTGGGATCGAGTCTCATGCTGGGTAATTCATAATTTACTTAATTTGTTACAACATGAATCTACTTCTATTTCATAAATTATTTTTTAATGTTCAGTTTAACCCAAAAAATTAAGATTAATTTACTTTGCAAAGTCTTTTAACATTTATTTTTGTAAGCAAACGTTATCCTATCTATAATATTATGTGTTCTCTTTTTCTAAAAATAAAATTATGTATTTTCACAAAAGTGATTTAAATTCATATATAATAATATATAGTTAAATGAGAGAGATTTAAAGGTGTGTTTGATGTATATTGTTATTGAGTTAGAGTTGTCTCATGTGATCGAGAGTGATGATGTTAATGTTGTTCATCAGTTGGTGTAGCGTCAACTTGAGTCGATAGTTCATTTTCATTTGCAAGAGACTCAAACTCGTGCTACACATTTATTTATTCATTCATTTTTTTGCACATGATACGCCTAACTGTATTGTTAATATTATACTATTTTGGTTTAATGAAATATATGTGTTTTCTTTCAAAGAGAGAGAATGATGTGTTTGACCCATTGCCGGTTATAATGGATTGACAAATACAACAAATTTCCTTCCCCATGAACATGATAGGACAATATGTCCATAGCTCGTCAAAGCCAACAACCATCAATTTTTCATGACTTAGAAAAACAAACATTTTGGAAGCTCTCTATGTATTTCAACTCATATTTAATTTTAATCAGAATGATAAATATTTTTTAATTATTTTTGTATTAGTGTAATTATATATCGTACAAGATGTATAATTTTATTTTTTTAATAAAATTCATATTAGTTTCATATTTTTTTTATCTTCTTTTCCTTTCTTTAATTTTGGTCTAATATGTGCTCATATAGTCGTCACGTTGATAAAAGGTGTGTTCTACAAGATGTGTTTTCAATTGTGCTTTTCATGTAATGTGTTTTTATTTTACGAGATAAAAAAATATTAATTTAAAAAATTGTTTAAAATAAGTATTATTTTATGTATTAACTTCTTTTATGATATTTAGGTAAAAATTTCCATGCATTTTATATAAATAATTAAAATACAAAAAAGACCAACAAACATAAAAATGAATAGGGTAAATTACACACTTACTGAACTTTAATCTCTCTCCTATTTCACTCACCAAACTTTTAATTTTTCAATTTACTCACTAAACTTTACACATTGATTTTTTTTTTGTCAATCTGCCGTTAAACTTGTAACACCATTATGACGTGGAATACATAATTGATTTCATGGATTATTTTATTATTTTTTCATATGACATGTCATAACTTTATTAATATAGGATTATAATAAAAATAAATTTAAAAATACTAAATTTTACACTAACCCTAAATCTCAAATTATAACCGCCACCCTACCCTCACCTTCTCGCCGGCGGCTCATCATGGTTATATAGAATCTCATATTTGAACGAACTCTGGATAGTCATTGAATGTGAGTAAACATGTAAGTTACTCAATTTGATTTTGCAATGTGAAGTGAGAAACCCGAACTCCAATAACCACATTGTGCTCGCGAGACACAAACAAAAACAATGGAATTAGAGATGCATTAGAAACAGTGTAGCAATCACCACTGCAATTTTAGAAGGGCATTCATTGTTTGCATTAGAAATGCATGTTGAATTCAAAAGCACCAAATTACGAAACAATGTAGTAATGGAG